ACCTGCAAGAACCCCTGAAGATCTTCAGGCCGGGGTTACGGATTTTGCATTTGCTCTGTGCTCTTGACCATCTTACGAATATAGGCTCTGATTGCCTACATACTGTGCCTTGTCAGAGACCAGCAGGTTCCTTTGTTTCCCCCATGTTTTCGTTCCTGGTTTGTGGCATTTCGAGGAATTGTTCCAGAGCTACAGAGCCTCCTCTGATTCCCGCGGACTCTGAAGACAACCCAAACTACTTTGTTGCAAAACTTTCGTCGAATGTAAATCATAGCAGAGAGGTAATAAAGAAAAACATTGTGTCTGCAACCATTGCGCCAACCTTGATTCACCTGCTTCTACCCTGTACTGCCGTATCACCATGGTCCCGCTAATCGACGATTTGCTTGAGCGAGCGCTATGTCTTCCATTTATCCCTGTCGTTAACTGTCCTAGCCTAGCAGACCTCTTCGCCGAGGAATAAGGGGTCCCTCCGTTACAAACTTTCGTGAAAAGGACCTACCGGCCCACGATATTCATTTGAGCCAATTGATCTAACCACTAACTGCCCTGGTCCATCAGTCATCAGAAAATGGCACGATGTGACCAGCCCACGTGTTCTTCGATCTTTGGCGGAGCTGGGAACTCCGGATTCCACTCTGCACTTGCTTGCATTGAGGAACACCGAGCAATATCCTCTGCAGAGCCTCTTGACTGCCACTGACTACACACTATTCCTGCTTGTAAAGAGTTCAAGTCTCTGAGGCGAGAGATGAGGAAATAAGGATCTTCCTTTATTGAGAAATTTTCATGTACAGACAACCAGGATCAATACGAACTTCGAAGTAATTCTGACATGCAGCTGTTAGGAAAAATTCGTCTAAAAATTTATATTTTGACCTTCGTTAATCAATTGTTCATAAATTCCTCATCTTCCACTGACTCTTACCTGACAGTGATTGCTCTTGAATTATGCCACACATATTCGTCCTTCACTAGAATTGCTGAAAGCGTTCAAAGCTTCATACAGAATTGTTCTTAATGAGCTGTTTGCTACCGCAGCTGTAAAGGGCAGTAATCGTCTTAATTGTGGCCAAGTTGTTCCCACAATTAAATGGAGACGAAACTGGTAGCAATTTACAAATCACCGGCGAGTCTTCCTGATGAGCTGCATAGCATACCCTATGTGACAATGACCGAGGGTCAAAATCGCAACAATCTCACATCCACGATATTCCAAACTAATTTTCTATCATGACGTATCAAATAACCGATTTCGTGATGAAACCGCACCGGCCTATGAACAAAATGCCGTCGAATCACTTCATTGCATAATTTATACAACTTCAATCGTATTCTACAGTATAGTGAGCATTCTACAAGAAACTACAACACTCACTGTCACGAAAGTTAAGCATGCCCAGTGCCTAGCAAGCATTAGTGCACTTTAATCGGAGCGGTAGTTCAACGACATGAGGACAAGCGTCAAATACCGGTACTAATGTCAAAGTTAAGGTGAACAGACACTGGTAAAAAAAAAAAGTATTACAATTGTCCTATACAAACTAAAGAGAAGCGGTCCATCTTTCTAATGCTGTTATCACCACTTATCCACCCCAATCCCTGGGAATGTACTAACATAAGAACATATAAAATAGAAGCATAAAATCGAGAGGATTCAAGTTTATAACCGAAGTATAGTGTGTCAAGAGCTATAAGATGGAATTACTCTCCTTGAAAGGAAGAGAAAAGTCAACTTATTCGCTGAAACCAATAAAGACTATGTCACATTGAAAGAAGTTGAAATCGAAACCAAAAAATCTGCATATGTACACTCTGCGTTTTTATAAACGTTTAAAAAAGCGAGAAGTGGGACCCATAGTACCGACTGATCAACTTGGACACAGGAGTCGCTAAGGCGAGAAAAGCAAAACCTGTACCTATCGCAAGCGCTGGCGGTGCTCCCACAGCAGCTAAAGCGGTACCCAGAAGTACACTCTTTACAGCAACAGCCTGAAAAGCATCGGCATGAGTCAAGAGAGTTGCAATGTGATTCAAATAAAATACTCCTTCTTATTCATATCTTCACTAGAGAACATTTAGAGCGTGTTCGCGTGCTCAACTTGGAAAGAGTTTTCCCCGTCCCCCCTCCACGCCTCTTCCAAATCACAGACACGATCTGCCTGTAAAGTCTAACCTGTCCACTGATCCTGTTTCCATAGCGACACCACTTCACAAAATGTTCGCAGTTATTCATGAAGATACTGTAATTCCCGGAACCTAGCTAAAATAAGCATTTCGAGAATGAAACATTGTGCTCTTCGTCAAACCACCCTACCATCCTTAGCTGCCTTTACCCTTAGCGAACTCGAAAAATCACTGGCCTTACCTGAAGTACGGCTCGTTCTACGACTATCCTCGGAGGGAATGGCTGATGATCAACGTCATGAGCGTTGTTGATTCTCACCAGGTCTTCACGGGCTATCGACAGCAATGGATCACAACGAACCTTAAGATTTTGAAACCCTTATTATGAGGTATCGTAAACCTTTATCACAGCATTTAGGATAAGGAATCGCAAACCTGGGCAGTGCATGCTTTAATTAGACTAGACGGTCCACCGCTGAGCGAGTCAACTTTGCCTTCACCTATTTTATCAAAATCTCCATCGCCACCGGAAAGATGAACAACAAGTGGTATATCCTCATGACGTCCTATGTACACACCCCAATGCTGGAAAGTCTCATAAATACTAAAAACTAAAACATAAATGCAAAACTATGCATCTTCACTACACAAACCGTGTATATATTTCGTGGGGCTCCTCCAATTCGAGCTACTCTTCTAAATTCGAGGAGATCACCCAGTTCGACGTGTGGAGCAATAGCTTCAGCACTGAGCCAATCACTAACAAGCTGACCGGCTGCGAGCATCGTTGTCCAGGTGCGCTCTAAAGCAAGATTTACGATAATAAACAAATACAAAAAAATCCAATGCGATAGAGAAAATTGTGTTATTACTTTATAATCCTTGGTGACTATAATGAAACACACCAAACCATTTGAAAGACTTTCGTTATGGAAAATCAGATAGGGTCCTCCAAGATATAAAAGAAATAAACAAAATAACTCCAATTAGATACTAGCCGAATGGACAGGTGCCAACATATTCATGAACAACATGCTGCATCCAAAATTTATACATATATTCATATAACAGCATCGAAAAACCATATACATCTGTTTCGTCAGTTTAACAAACGTTCCTGGATATCGAGGAAGAAGTTGTTCAGAGATCTTAGTTGGATACTACTCCTGCTTGTTTACTGAGAGTTTCCTGGATCGTCTGAAGTATGGTCGACTGCCATGCTTCTCTGCATTCGTCCCATACTAACTCCACCTGAAGATTCAGAATTTTGGCTAATTGAGTCAATAGATGATGAAGAATAACAGTTTTCTTAACAAATCATCTGGAATGAGTTTCACTTTCACCCAAGGAGTAATGGAAATTTCAGAAGATTTTTGAAGAGTGGGAACTGTGATTGGACTCGTGCGAAGCCAGACTACCCTCTCGTCAAGGTATTAGATGTAGGGACAGTGCGAAGTGGCACCTTTGCCGCAAGCACTTCTCGGTTCTGAATCGAACCCGCCCAGGCAAACTGGGACCTCCTTCTTTAGTGCAAGCTAAATAAGTAGACCTCTATGCTGAATCAAACAGAGGCTTGTACTTCACTTCGAAACCGTAGTTCTAACCTACATATTCATATTTTTAACCACAACTTTCAAATTAAAATATAAACAAAAGAAGCCATTGCAGCTTGCCTGATTCTCATCACCCTTCACAGGTAGCACACATATTTCACCATGAAAAAGCTCAATGCCGTCCTAAAATAAAACCAGTGGACGAACTACAAATGACTTACCCCGCTTACAATCTGACAATGTTACTCCACTCACCTGTTTATGTTGCAGGTGGGTGTCATGAATAGACAATGCTTCAGAAAGGGCTCTCCAATCAACTACTGAGCGGGATTTTACCAACTGTGACAGGGTTATAGTATGCAAGCCAAGCTGTAACCTGCTGGCAGCTGCCTCACATGAGATCACCTCTAATCCGTTCTGCAAACACACTTCTTAAGGAACACCATTCAGCTTCTGAACATAGATGTGAAGGAATATCCCACCTGTTTATCCATAACTAAACACGCCGAGAAAGGACAAGCCTTTTTTGATGGAGTGGGGTCGAGGTCTAGACATCGTTGTACGATATCTTGAGGTACATCGACCTCCAAATTAGCGATTCCAGGAATGGTCACCGATTCGCCATTTGCAGGCATTAATACCGGAACTCGGAACTCCTAAATGGTGTTCGTAGGAAAGTAAGAAGAATTTGCCTCTTACAAAATGAATATCCTTTCAAAGTTACAATCTTACTTACTTTTTCGACTTTTCCCTTGAGAAATTCCATTTTGGCCGCTTCACCATGTACAAACATCACACTGCGGGGCTGGCAATCTCTGATCAGCTGAAAACTGCGTTATTTCTTCGGCACAATATATCTTTCTAAACTTCATGAAAGACTGTAAAAGCAACAAATAATTCTGCCACCACCTCATCTCGCCGCCAAGGATCTCTTGACTTTATACTAAAGATAATTTTAATTTTGATCGAAATTGTTTATGCTTCCAGCGCGACTCTTTCCAAAATGGGCATTTCCTATCTCATTTTTACGCCAGCGCTTTGCCCCTACGTATATTCCACATCTTTCCCACATAATGACCACGAACCCACCCTATCACTCATTTCCACGTACCGAACCTTTGAAATGATCTCCAAGTCCTGTCTCGTACTCACTTCTTTCAGAGTACATAGCCTCATAAGAGTTATTCGCGGAGAACAACCGGAATATTCCATCTGAGCTACCGAAATTCAAAATAACAAGGAAGTATCTCACACTGTCATTTGAGGTTTTGAGGAGGTCTTTAAAATCGAAGCGGCGGGAAGCATCATACAGCTTATCACTCTAGATCAGAATCAACCTAATCTCACTACAGGTTTCCTTCTAATTGATTGTTTGTCCTCCAACTTCCACTGTTTGCTACCTTTTAAGCGTTTTTTGTCATCCATCGTTCTCGCACATAAGGCATGTGCCATAAACAAACAATGCCTACAGCAGAAAATGAGATTAAAAGAGTAAGTTATGTGACCTGCATTATTCCTTTCGCGTCCGCATGAGCGCTGAACGACATGTACTCTACAGCCAGGTTGATGTCATGCTGTAATTCGATCAATTAAGAGAATCCAGTGTTTACGAAAAAATTGATTACTAATGTCTGAAATATATGAGGAGCCGACCTACCATTTTACCTTCAATTTCTATCTTCTTCATTCCACTTATCACCTTTGCGCCGACAGTTCCAGCCACACAGTAACCTGCAGCATTACGGCAGCATAATTAGCAGACGTACCAATAAGACCTCGAGCAGAAAGTTTCTTACCAGGCATTATAATCATATTCCTGGGGTCATGACACCATTTCCGGAATACTTTTAGAGACTGACCTCCGTGTAACATTCCTAAACGACCACTTCATCACACCACGTTAACGTTAACCATTTGATAAGGAAACACAATTTTACCTGGGGTTGAGAATAACACCATGGCGCCAGGCATTTCCTCGTAACCTTTATCAAGAGGCTTGATGTGCTTGAAATCGAACATGTTCCTTTCGACAAAAGTGCGTTTGATCTTTTCATTGGTCCAATTTATGAACAATCGATAATACTGTAACAGCAAATTTTACACAAATCGTAATTTGAATTACGCTCGTCTAAGTATACTGCACTAATTAGTAACTGATTTCAGACCTGATTTGCTCGTTCCGCCAAACCTTGGGAAAAATAAATGGGTATTTTCAAATCCATCCGTTCCCAGTACGATTCAAGAAGAATACACAACTCCTGAGCTCGGCCCAACGCAAAAACAGGAATCAGAACCTAAGAATAAGCAATCTTCTCCAAATGTTTATATCACCATTACCAGAAAATACGTTTACACTTGAAGGAAACTATAGTGTACAGCGAGTCATTACCTTTCCTCCCGCCATTACTCTATCGTGTACTTTCCGGAGGAAATCTCTTTCTCGTGCTCGTTTCGAATCTCGAATTGTGGTAGCGTAGGTTGACTCAGAGATGAGACAGTCGGGTCGAAGGCCTGGTAACACCCGAGCTGCTCCCAAATGCCGATCGGGCGTCATGTTATAATCACCTATAGAAAGCAATGAAAGCCTTTTATGAAGTCATCAACACGACAGCATAACTGGTACCTGTATATAATATGCTTTGATGACCAACACGGATTTCGAACATAGCTGCGCCGAGCACATGACCGGCGTAGAAGGCACGAATAGACAGTTCGCTGTCTACTTGCACTGTCTCATGGAGATTTACCGCTATAACCTGTAATCGAAATACATGATAATGTGACTTTCTAAGGTATCCCAAAATGAAAANAAAATCAGTGACGGAAAAACTAAAAACAAAAAGCGAACCTTTTTCATACAAGCTTTAATGTTAGCCGATGTGAAGAAGTTTGTGTCTCCTCGAAACTCCGTCTGCACTTTTCGGTAATCCTCCTTGACAAAATAAACAAGTTAAAAACAGAAGTTTATAACAGATGCTTCAGAGTGAAAGAGCCTCAATCTGACAAGATAAGGAGTAGTTCTTGATTGTGCGCAATGTAAATTCTCCAGATACAAGAAACGATTTTTCATTTAGACAGGCACTCCCATAACACACTGAATTACTGTCACAGTAATTGAGTATTTTCTTTCTGGCATGTAAATGAAGAAAAAGGGTAAAAATATTGAGAGGGTACCATATGACTATTGGTCGCTATCTCATAAAGTACGCTGAGCCAATTACCAGCCATCGGTACCCTAAATGTCACTTCAGAGGAGCTTAGACTGAAGGAAAATGGAAAATGATGTTTCTAGACAAAGCGACAATCAAATTGGATAAAACAAAACACAAATAGAGGATTCACATCCACTGCAATTATGGGTGAGCTAATCGAACAAATAGGTGCTCCCTCAATTTATTCCTATGTTTTGAAAATAATTCCGTTGAATGAGAAAGTGGTCGGTATTTTAGTCTTCCGCAAACTTCATGTGCCCAAACACTACCATTTGGAGTCTTGAAAGTTCCCAAGGAATACTTGCGACTGAATCTTTAAAAAGCAGAAGATGAGGTATACATTTACTGCTCACCAAGAGCACTGGTGCAATGGCTTTTGTTGGGTAGGTCATGTAGATCGGACCATCAAATCCAACAATTTCACTCATATGAGGTAGGGATCCACAATGATCCAAATGAAAATGAGATATAATCACGCAGGTCAAGTAATCATTCAACTTTCCTCCTCCGCCGATATATCTGAATTAACCAAGTTATAGAAAAGAAACAGGCAGCAAAGGAGTGACTGATAACTTACGAAAAATCCGGAAAACGTCGTTCATCCTGGTAGCCCATATGCATACCACAGTCAAGCATCACATTCTTTCCACCGATAGTAACCAGAATACAAGACCGACCAACGTCTTGCCCTGCCCCAAGGGGGACAATCTGAGCAAATAACCAGTCACAAATCCCTTGAAGGAAGACCTGTCTTA